GAGCTTGCTAGTTCCAAAGCTGTAGGAGGAATTTGCAGGCAAAATTCACACACGACACAAATTTATATGAGATTCTAAGAAAATATGTTTAGACTATATAAAAAGAGTGGTTTGGAAACTTTAACATAAGTAAAGTGAGAGAGAACTTTCATTCTTAACCCTAATTAACAGAACAGGTCCAGCACCTTGCAATGATTAACCATTGGGAATTTTTCCACTCATCATAGGTAAGCTGCTTGAAATTCAGACATGCATACATAAATCATGTTTACCATCTATGTCTGTTTGATATTTTGGTAATAGGAAGATGAAATAATTGGTTCATGCTCTGGAATTAAGTGCTTAGGCTGAATGAGTTATCTTAAAAATACTGTTTAGCCAGCCAGAGATCAAATCAAGATTAGACATAATTCAGTTCCAGGTAGGAAGGTTAAGTAGTTGATGCATGCTCTAGAATCTAGTATTTAGGCTGAAGGAGTTAATTTAAAAATACTGTTTAGCCAGCCAGAGATCAAATCAAGATTAGACATAATTCAGTTCCAGGTGGTTAGACAAGAAGAAAAAGAATTATATATTTATATTTAATTTTTAAAAGAAGTGAACTTTTAGAAAGTTATTTTGTTTAATGATAGAATCTAACACAGTTGTGTTGTTACGGTTTAATTATTACTATTTTCCAATAAAACATGTAAATTTGGTTTTTCAATAAGCCTTTTAGTCCATAGCCAAAAATATAATTTGGTGTCAGGATTGACAACTGTAACTGGTTTGAGATATTGTACACAAATTCTGATTATTTTGAAGATCTTTCAGTAATGGTATGAAGATGGGTAAAAACTGGATGAAAAAATGTGACAGGAAAGGCGAAGAACATGATCAAAAGTTAAGAGAGGCTTTAAAATACCATGATTATCAATTTAAAGGATATCTGTGGAAATATTATAATCAATTTGTCGATTTTAATATTTCTATTATAAACATAATCTAACAAATATTATTAAGAGAGAGCCATGAATATAATGCAAAACAATCTTGATCATGTATCACTGATGATAGGCTTACAGCACTACAAGAAACTACAAATGCTAGGACTGCCTCAGCTAAAAAGCACTTGGATTTGAGAATTGAAAGTATAGATATTCCTTTATTGATGATTTAGCCGAGTCTTCGTGATGCCACAAACGAAGAGCAACAACTTAGAGCACTACAAATTAGATCCAAAGATGTTCCCGTCAGTTGTGATGTTAAACCTACTCACTAACGTCCCAACTGCAGAAGCCCTCCACGTCAGCAAACGACTGTTGAATAATAATTGACTTGCATGAAGAACTGATTTGAAGATGGAAGCTGCTATGGAACTAACCACAATTTGTCTACAATCCACATACTTTCAATACAACAATGTCTTCTTTGAACCACTCTTCAGTTTTAGCAGAAATTTTCATGAAACATTTTGATCAAGAGTCCTCTCCTCTCTTGACAAGAAATCCAACTCTTACAGATGAAACATTTGTTATTTGGTTCCAAAGTCATTGAAACTTATTAGCTTTCTTACAACATCATAACTCTATAGACAACATAACCCACTTTACCATGAAAGTTGAGGACATCAACCCGCCGTTCCTTGATATTCTCTTAGAAGACAGAGTAACAAACTCACCACATCTATATACAGGAAACCTACTCATACTGATAGATACTTACATTTCCAGTTTTACCACCCACCTTTTGTTAAACGCAGTATTATTAAGTGCTCGAATAACAGGAATGAAAACCCCACCAAAACCGACAAGTCGTACAGTGTTTTAAACAGAGCAGGTACCCTTGTAGTTTCATTACTAATAGCTTGAAGAACATAAAAATGTTTAACTTTTATCTTCTCACTTCCGATTTGCATATACCGGAAGTACATAGCGTTGGTCTTGTTCAAAACTAAACAAATAACTGATGACAAAAACAAACAAAAAACGTCATTTATAAAATACCACGTTCCTATAAACAGGTTTACATCGGAGAAACTGTAAGACACTTTGGGGCAAGATTAAAAAACATCAAGATTACATAAGACTAGAGGCGCCACTAGGTACTTAAAAGATTCGAAGCTCGGACCCATAGGTGCGAGAATTTTCGGCGTTTCAGTATGATATCAATCATGGTTTTCTATTTAATTTTCAAGAAACC